TGCAGTTCAGGCTGGCCTTGAACTCACTTTGTAGCCCAGGCTGGTCTTGACCTCACAGTGATCCTCCTGCCTCAGCCTCCGGAGTGTTGGGATTACAGGTGTGCACCACCACGCCTGGTTTAAGGAGTTTTGACAGAGATGTATACAGAAAAGAAAATTATTAATGGACTGATTCTTTCCCCCTAAGGTCAAAGAGTATTTGGTTTTTTTTTTTATTTTTATTTTATTTATTTTTTTTTTTGGTTTTTCTCCGGTACCGGGAGCCGAACTCATCAAAGAGTATTTGAATGAAGCTGAGAATGCTGTGAAACCACTTGAAGGGTAGATCTATTGCCGTTTAGTCTGAATTCTGAGAAAAAAATCAAACAGTAAAATCACTGTAGATAAATGTTGTAGACATGAGTGAGTCTAGGACTTTCACGTGTAATTATGCTTCTTCTGTGAAGATGACATTTTGAAGGATGATCAAATTGTTGACTATAGAAAATTTCCAGTGTAAACTTCGCTAGTTTTTAGTAGTGGATGACTGACCAGGTAGGTAGGGGTAGGTTTTTGTACATGTGTGTGTGATATGTACACATGTATTTGAGCTGGGATGTGAGGGTCCACGCTGACATGGAAGAAGGAATTGTCTCTTTTTATTAAAATCCAAAAGTGTACAGAAGCTTTTCATCTGCCCTACTGCACTTCATATTTTATTTTGTGTTGTATGTTATTTTTTGAGACAGGGTCTCACCAGGCTGGGCTTCAATTTACTATGTAGCTCAGACTGGCCTTGAACTTTCAGCAATGCTCCTGCCTCAGCCTCCTGAGAGCTGGGATTATAGGCATGCACTCCCACACTGGCTGGCATTCCATATTTTATTGTTCGACTACGTAGGTGGCTTTCTGCTTTATTTTTTATTTTATTTTATTTATTTATTTATTTATTTTTGCCTTTTTGAGACAGGGTCTTGCTATGCAGTTCAGGCCAGGCTTGAGCTCACTTTGTAGCCCAGGCTGGTCTCAAACTTGCAAAGGTCGTCCTGCCTCAGCTTTCCAAGTGCTGGGATCACAGGCGTGTAACACCATGCCCGGCTATGTGCTTTTTTTAAAGATGCAAGTTGAAGTTCTGTGGTTCAAGTTATTTCTGTGTTTTCATTTCCTAGGTAGAGAAGATTATCTGTAATTTAAAGCCAGCTTTAAAGCTTCGCCTGCGATTCATCACACACATCAGCAAGATGGAGCCAGCCGCGGTGCCCCCGCAGGCCATGAGCAGTGGCTCCCCGGCGCCACAGTCCAACCCGGTGCCCGCACCCCTACCGGGAGCCCAGTGAAACTGGCTGCCCAGTGAGGGCGAAGCACAGGGACTCTCGGCTGTTCAATCTGAACGCGCTCACGCTGTTGGATGCACTGGAAACAGCAGTGACGTTCAGGTTGTTTATTTTGATTCAGTTGTTGAATCTCTTGACACCCATAATTCCCATCTCCCCAGCTCTGTGGTCTCTGAGACACTGAATAAGCTACTCGTCGTTCACATTTACAGCAACGGCAAGGCTCCCCGCGAACACTGAGGGGTCTGCGATCAAATGACTTCTACTGGGCACTTAACCCCCCGCTGTTTGACCATTGTTTTTTATTGTTAATGACATACTTGGTCTTCCAGTACGTTATTTTATGACTATTTTATACACCTATAAAGTAGTCATCCCAAGGCCTTTTGTACGTAAATCTTCTTTGGCATAGCTTCAGAATAGTGATTTTTATCACTTGAAGGACTGTAGATTTCATTGCCTTGCAGGACCAAAAAAGGTTTCATATTTTTTTAAAAAATGGCTTGAAAATTTTATTGTAAATTTCCAAAAACGTAGTCTAATGCTTTTATTAAGGTAGGTTTGCCGGGGGTTTTTGCCTTTGCTTAGAACTTACTATATGAAATGAGTTGGAAGTCATGTAAGAGAATAACATATCTGCCAACGCTTAAAATAAAATCATCCTTCAGTGATTGATTCCCCAGTTTTTCAAAAAATTAATTAATTGTGCATGTTGACAGTCACCTGGCAGATGATGTGAGTTTTTGAATTTTTATAACATCAGATTTTTAAATATTTATATTTTTACATACAATGCACATTTTTGTTCTTTGGACTTTATTAGCTGTTGAGAGGCATATTGTTAATCGTAGGAGGAAAAAGCATGGCGAGGGGGGAAGTCTGCTGGCTGAATAAACTGTGATTTGTTAATGACTGGGGTTGTGTAGGCCGCAGGCTGTACTGGCCGGGCACTGGCCTATGTGTTTTACGGTACTTGGTGACTCACTTTGGCCTTGGAATTGAAAGTTACTCATTTTTTTAAAGAAGAATTAACCAATTATACTTAAAATTCTTCTAAATACATACTTCCTAGACATTTATTTTCCTCATAGTTCACATTATTGCAATCACTAAGTCTTTTATTTGTAATATAAAGCCAGTTTAAATTTTATGTAATGGTAAAATTAATTTCTTTACCTTTTTTTTTTTTTGAGACAGGGTTTCACCATGTAGTTCAGGCAGGGCTTGAACTCACTATGTAGCCCAGGCTGGCCTCGAACTTGTGGCAGTCCTCCAGCCTCAGCCTCCTGAGTGCTAGGGTTACAGGTGCTTGCCACCTCGCCCTGTGAGGCTCTAACTTAAAGCTGTCAAAGCAGGCTTTGAAATACCGTGTAATTCCAGCACTTGGGAGGCTGAGGCAGGAGGAGCACTGTAAATTCCAGGCTAGTCTAAACTGTATAGCAAGACCCTGTCTCAATAAATAAAAACCAAAAAGAAGGCTTCCCCTGGAGCCTTCCTCTTTGCAGAGTTCGGATGGCCCTGTGCTTCAGGGAGAGGGAGAGGCTGCTGTCTTCTTCTGACCCTGTCGCTTCCTTGCTCCTGAGCATGCGGGAGTGTGTAGGGTGCTTAAGGATGTTAGCCGATGAGACCTGTGGTAGTTGCATTGAGTGAAGGGTGGGATGGCTTGAAGCCCCAGATAATTGTAAGTGAAATTCCAACCTGAATTAGTAGGTTTGGGAAATAAAATGTCAGTTTGACTTCCTGAGCTCCTGAATAGATTTTCAGAAATAGTTTCTACTTCTCATAAGCCTATCTGAATAGCACTCTGTGCTTATAACATCAACAACATCGTGTAAGGGATATAGCTCAGCAGCAAAAGCGCCTGCCTGCCAAGCGCAAGGTCCTGACTTTGATCCCCGGTACCACAAAATAAAAAAACCAACAAAAATATCGTGTAATTCCAGCACTTGGGAGGCTGAGGCAGGAGGAGCACTGTAAATTCCAGGCTAGTCTAAACTGTATAGCAAGACCCTGTCTCAATAAATAAAAAGCAAAAAAAAAAAAAAAAAAAAAGACCATATTCAAGGTTTAGAAAAAGTAAAATAAGATCATCTAATATTAATTAAGTTGGAAGTTGCCTGAACCTATGACTACCCATTTTACAGATGAGGAAACCAAAACTGGAGTTGTAATAGCTTTGCTAAGACCTTACAATGTTTGGGGGATGATGGTTTCATAGACTTTAAATCTTTATAGTAGTCTTGGGCTGTGTATGTGTGTGTTGCATATATTTAGAAACATGTAGACAACTAAATCTTATTATAAAGAATTAAAAAAATCACATCTTTTAGCTGGGGGTGGTGGCACCCACCTGTAATCCCAGCATTCAGGAGGCTGAGGCAGGAGGATTGCCACAAGTTGTAGGTTAGCCTGCTCTGCACAGTGAGTTCAAGGCCAGCCTCAACTACATAGTGAGACCCTGTTTCCCCTCCCAAAATCACATCTTTTGAACAGCATAGACATGTGATACCATTCCAGGTTGGGTAGCCTTGTCTTTGAATATCAGGAACCCACTGGGGGTTGGGGCTTCTATTTGTGTATTTTACATGCTAGCACATTTTAAATTGGAAATTAATGTATGCTTCTTTATTGAAGAATATTTTTTTTTTTTGCCAAAATAGGAAACATACATTTTTTAATGTCACAGAAAATTAGAATTGCCAAATGTTGAACTTAATACCAACAGGAAATGGTTAGAATTTGTCGTGGGTGGACACAGAGGCCAGTGTCAAGGCCAAGAGGCCCTCTGAGTGAGGCCCCTTGGGGCTCTGAGGAACTGAGGGGAGTCAGCACATCTACCAAACAAAGATGCCAAGAGCCAACACAGCGGTTTATTGAGCGTCAATCACATTCACAGCAAGACAGAGGGGAGCTCGCCCGCAGCAGAAGCTGGGCGCCCACGGCCCAGGACCTTGCTTCCTCCCGGCCAACACCCGCAAGAACATGGGCCTGGACAGCACCAGATCTCATGGTGATCCAGAGACCTCGACAGCTGGAAGCCACACAGTGACGTCACAGACAGTTGCAGAGCTCAGGCAGCAGCCCTAGGAAGAGAGTCCGCAGGCACTGACCCGGGAGACGGCCGAAGAGCGGCTCTAGGCCTCTTAAATTTCTCATGAGGGGTTCACAGGGTAGGTTAGGCACACAGGCCGTGTGCACAAGTTCTCCCACACACACACAGGTTGGAGCTCACCACACTACCTTAGAGTCACACGCTACCTTAGAGTGCAAGCTTCGACGAGACAGAGCATAAGATGGCTTTGCCCTGCTCCCATCATTACATGAATTGGGAAAACATTTCTCAGAAAAAAACAGCTCTTTGGGAGGATTATTACAGGCTTAAATAAATTATTAGATTTGCTAATTATGTCACTAGCGGTGAGGTTTGCATATGTTTCCACATTTACTTGGGCGGCGAAAGGTAGTCCTTGTGAGGGTCATGGTTACCCTCGCGAGCCACTCCAAAGCAAGCCAGAGTCACTGCCACTGCCGTGTTCACGGTCCGAGTGACTTCCTCCGGTGTCTTCCCCAGCACAGGGTTTACCTCCATGATGTCTAGTCCGGAGAGCAGCCCTACAGACCAACCAGCACACAGCAAGAATGAATTTGCACAGCACTGGACATTTTAACATCCGGGTAGACACGGTAGGTTATCTTGTAGTGGAGAGATGGTGACCAGTGGGAACCTGTTTAGTCACTGCATCATGCTCTCGGCATCGGGGCCTGGTTTTCACATCAGAGACTCATGGATACAAACGGCCCCAGCTTACACTTCTTGTTGCCTCAGATTGTCACCTACCTGTCTTGTAAATCTCTTCTGCGATGTAGATGCCTTCTCGGTGAGACAGACCTCCCACGACAGGCGTGCCCGTAGCAGGTGTGATGGAAGGGTCCAGCCCATCGACATCAAGACTCAGATGAATTGGCCTTTTCTTCCTTTTAAAGAGTGGAAAGGGATTTCACTTTAAAGTTGGTGGTGTAATATTTGGGTAAATACAAACTGGTGGAGTCAATATACCTGTAGATAAATACAGTTGTTAGCCTGCTTTATAAAACGTGATAACTCAGTGAAGTTCCAGGATTCCCCTTACGCCGGCAGCAAGCCTCCTGTCTCCCATGGGCATGCGCACAGGGCGCCGTACCTTTCTAGTAGATAGGCCAGCGCTTCCTCCATCACCTTGCCGATTCCCAGTCTGTCCACTTCCGTCATTGAAAAATACTTGATACCCAGGGTTTTCACAATGCAGCTATAAAAGAAGAGTTATTCAGATCATCTACAATTAGTAAGGCTGACTCTATGCCCTACTGTTAACGTCTCAGAAAAGACTGACTTGGTGAAGTATGTAAGATATTTGAGTTCTGTGAACCATATGTGTATAGCTATCTTTTAACAGCAAATCATCTCAGATGTAAGTTGCCTGAATATTTTTTTTTGAAACTTGTTTGTTTGTTTGTTTGTTTTTGTTTTTCTTCCGGTACCAGGAATCAAACTCACGACCTTGTGCTTGCCAGGCAGGCGCTTTGCCGCTGAGCTAAATCCCCAGCTCCTTCCCTGAATATTTATATGTATATAAATACACATGTATTGACTTGTTTAAATTACTTTTGTGTAGAGATTTGGCCAGTAAGCATATCTAGTACACAAAATAAAAATGAAGGCAGATCCCATCTGGGGGTAAACTCACTGCTCCCCGGGGTCCACATCTCTCAAGCCAATGTACACGATGTCCTTGGCAGACAGGCAGGGTGTCACCCAGGAGAAACCCGGGACCTCTGGGATCTGAAAGGGAAGTGTGACCGCTTAGGCAGCATGCTTCTCTGCAGCAAAGACCCTGCTGGACTGCGTACATCTTACATTTAGAATGTAAATTTACAGGAAATCATGCAACGATCTCTAAAGGAGGAAGGAGGTGGGTCCGCCTGCAGGGGCCTTGATGGTTTTAGGCTTACCAGTGCCACCTGTGGCCCAGCCCGAGTCCTGCCTTCCCGGGGTCTGACACCAGGCAGGGCCTGCATGTTTCCCATACCTCGGGGCTCCTCGTTTCCCGCTCTCTCAGGGCGGCCCTGATCCCCAGAATGGCCCGGAGTAGCTTGGGGAAGTCAGGCAAGACTGTGGGTTGCTCTTAACACCACACTCCGATCGCTGACATCCACTTTGTCCTGGAGCCAGCTTTGGGAGACATTTTGCAAGTTTACAAGCAAAGCCCCTTGATTATCAGCTCAAAAAAATGTTACTTTAAGCATATTGTATAAGGAGGTTTCAATCCCTTTCATCATGAGCGCCCATACAACTATAATAATTAAAAGTGGTTTTTATTGATATACATCAATAAAAATTGTGCACCATGAGGTTAAATCTTAATCTAGTATTTTAAATTTTGTGGAAAAGTTTCTAGGGTGCGGGAAAATAGTCCTTCCTCTTACAATTTCAGATAGGTGCTTCTCATGTGAAGACGGTAAATAATCATTGTTTCTGCCTTTTGCAAGGGATCTGTGATGTAGCGGTAGCACTAACAAAGAAGGACCTGAGAAACACAGTGGGAAGAGGTAGGGACTAGGAGACCTGGTTCTCGTCCTTGCCTCAGAATATGCCTAACATGCAGTCTTGGGTAAGTCGGTTGACCTCTGAAGCCCTTTGACTTGTTTGTAAAAGATTACTTGCTGCTGCACTAAAAAGGGTAATTGAAAAAGTCAAAATGGCCGGGCATGGTGGCGCGCACCTGTAATCCCAGCACTTGCGAGGCTGAGGCAGGACGATGCCACTTTCATCAACTTTTGCTTATATGCTACCGAGAAAATGGTTTGAGATTACCCAAGAATAAAGCAGCATGAGAGGCTTCCTCCTCCCAGCACTTGGGAGGCAGGGGCAGGAGGATCGCCTTAAGTTCAAGACGGGCCAGCCTGGGCTACAAAGTGAGTTCAGTGCCAGTCTGAACTACTTAGCAAGATCCTGTCTCAGAACGACAACAAAAAAGATGCTTCCCACTCGCTTCTAGCTCCTGAGCTTGTGCTACATAACGGCGCCGGCCGGCTTTACCTTTCCTTTCAGCTCCTTCAGGAGGAAGGACACAGGTTGGCCATGCAGGTTCCCGGTGGTGGTGGTCACAGGAGTGTTGATGTCCGTGTGAGCATCGACCCAGATGACACCGAGGTCAGGGTGGACCCTGGCATGGCCGGAGATGGTGCCAATCGCCAGGCTGGGGGGAGAAGTGTACACGTCAGCTTTGCGAAGCCACCGTGCACATCTCACGCCAGCAGCTGTCTTATGTGGCTGCTGGCTTCTCCGAGTCCGAGCAGCTGCTTCTGATCGGCTTTAGAGGCCACCATCAGAGAACCGGAGCTCTGCAAGCTGGCGGAAGCGCGGGCATTACTAAAGTAGTTACTGAAATGTCTCATTTCATTTCACAGGCGATGGCCTAACCAAATACCAAATTGTATAAAAATGCTAGCCACACAAGAAATTCCATTGTGAGACGCTGTTAAGTTCTCGGGGTTAAATCTGGCTCTTTGACTATACCCACATCTCTCTTGGTAAATAATTCCTTCCAGGGGTTTAGGACAAAGTCCCTCCGTTCTTCTAAAACGCAGCTCTTTTGCTCGCACAGCCCGGAGCACCACTCAGCAGTTCCCGGGGTCCGCGGGGCTCTACTGGGCTGCCCTCCTCCAGCCTGGTGTACCTCTCGGGACAGGGTCCAGCCTCCCGAGCACGTTCCCGAAGGGAAGGTGTCAGCGCTACGCTGCACAGAAGTTAATGGACTGGGATTCACCGGACAGGGCCTGCATCGCGATGGGAAGGAGACGCAGAGTGGGAGGAGTGGAGGAAGGGGAGGAGGTGAGGAAAGAGTTAGGGACAGTTGGGGGCAGGTACTGACTCCCCATGTGAAGGTAATCAGTGTGTGATGCAAACTCACACTAAGAAAAAGGAAAAATAATGCCAGTGGTCTCCCACTTTTGACCACTTAAGTATCATTCAAAAAATCACGAACCTGCTAGGTCTGGTGGTGCACGCCTGTAATCTCAGCACTCTGGAGGCTGAGGCAGAAGGATTTGCTAAGAATTCAAAGTGAGGCTGGGCTGCATAGTGAATGCATGGCCAGCCTGGACTACAAAGTTGGACCCTGTCACTAAAAGCAAAAAGAAAAAAAACAAAAAAAAAACCCCATGAACTCAGATTATCAAAGGGAGAGAAATCACGCTTGGAAGTCCAGGTATTGCTTGATATTTTGTTTCCTTCAGGTTTCCTTTGGCTGCTTGCCACGCTTAAAATTTCCACTTACAAAGTTTTCCACTTAAAGAAGAAAAGTGGAAATTCTGATCGCAGCTTTGTTGCCAAAGCCCGATCCCCCTCGGCTCTAGGAGGAGAAAGGACAAGGGAGCCGGGCAAGCTGCTTGAGGCAGCACTGTCCTCTGCAGCGAGCGGGAGAAGGCTCCTTGCCCAGGGGTGTTCTCTACCATGTTGTTTGTAACTATGAAAATTTAAGAATAACTGAAATACTGACAATGTGAAGATATAGATATATATATGTCATTCCTTGATGAGAAATTGTGCAGCAGTCAGAAATGATGGTTATGAGGGTTTTGTGCGTACTGTGAAGTAACAAGGAAATTAGACTGTAGATTAAGGAGATAAAGGATATACTGTACACATACACACACACACACACAATACTGTTAAACAAAATCATTATAAGGAAAAGAGATGCCATGAAGGAACTCTGCCAGATTTTCAATCCTGATTGAAAATGTTGTTAGAGAAATAAAATTATACTGTTACTTTCTTCTTCTCTGTGTGTGTGTGCTTTCAAGAGTTTTATAATAGAAAGCACATACTTTTAAGTCATTAACCAAAATAAGTTGTAGGTATTACCGGTATTCATGTAGAATAGGCTATGGATTTTCTCAGTGCCTGTTTATTTAGAAATGTGAGCCTGTATCTAATATTGTGCTGACATCATTCATTTTGGATGTATTTTCTGTGACACTAAGGACACCGTATGATGTCAAACATTTGTATGACGTCAAACATTTGTACATACATAACCTATATGTACAATGTTCTTTAAAGGCAGAGAGTTTAGTTTCAGTATCGAATCAGTGCTTTTCTGTGTACACGTCCTCTCTTCCTGGGGTCTCAGTCACACTTCCTGTGGGCCCTTGCGCCCCGCCCCGGGATGCGGCCCCCACGCCACACCTGTGGTCTCCGCCCATCACCACGCTGACTCTGCAGCTCTTCTGCACCTCGGCCACCTCGCTGGCCAGCTCCTCGGTGGCTTTCCCCACCGTCCTGGGATTCTTCACAATTCCAAAGGGGACGTCATTAGGGACATCCGTAAAGGACAGGTCCCCGTAGTCCTTCACATCACACTCTACGGTGAAACGGAAAGTTTCAGGTTATTAAAACGTCGCAAGACAGTGTGTGTGGAAAAAAAAAAAGTGTGTGTGTGGGATGATTCCAAACACAAAATCAGGATGTTTTCAAAGGCAGAAGCAAACAAAAAACCCCAGGCAAGCAGTAAACACCGTGAAGGGCGAAATCAGGCTGCTTTGGTCCCCTCCCCGCCACCTCCAGCACCTGCTAGGTGCCAAGCCCTGTGCCGCCTTAGCTGATCCAGTTAGACGGGACACCAGGGACAGCGCCAGTAACTTTCCGCATTGGACCTGATGAGGCACATTGCTGCCTGCAGCTCGGCTTGTGCGCTTTCTGCCTTTCTATAATGAGGACATTTGGGTTCTTTAAGGAATGGTTAAGAGGTCCAAAGGAAAATACACGCGCACTGTCTGCATTTTCTGACTCTGTTAACCAGGAATGATCCTTGGGTTTGAGCCAGTCCATCGCCTCTGCAGCAGCTCCGCTTCCTTCTCTGCGATCGCCTGCCTTGGGGTGATGTGTGAGGGAGCGTGCTTAGCCCTGAGCCTTGAACGTTAGGGAATACAGGAAGTAAAACTTCTATACTTTTTTGAGAAGAAAAATTTGCCTGTAACTCAGTTCCTAAGGATCTGAACAAGCCTCTGAAAAGACCCTGCGAACAGCTTCAAAGCTAGAGCTTCAGCCAGGAGCCGTGGGGCAGCCTGTGATCCCAGCACTCTGGGACGCTGAGGCAGGAGGGTCACAAGCTTGAGCCCAGTCTGGGCAATTTAGCAATTTAGTGAGACCGTGTCTTAAAATAAAACATGTGAAAAAAGGTTGGGAATATAGCTAAGTAACCAAGGCCCTGAGTTAAATCCCCAGTACCACAAAGAATAAAAATAAAAAAGATTGGGCAGGTAGCTCAGTGTGAAGGCCCTGGGTTCAATCTTTAGTACTGGAATAATAGTAATAGTAATGAGAATAATAATAATAATAATAATAATAAGTGGAGATATACCAGTGTGAAGGTCTTGGGCTCGATCTTTAATACTGTAATAATAATAATAATAATAATAATAATAAATAGGTGGAGATGTAGCTCATTGTGAAAGCCCTAGGTTCAATTCTCAGTACTGAAAAAAAAAAACAATAACTGGAGTTTCCTGTAAAACTGGTAGGGAACAGTTTAGTGCTCTAAATTAAAGAGCCTTTGCACTGTGCCTCACTTCCAGGTCTTCCTTCATTTTTAAAATTTTGAGCCAAGGTCTCACTAAGTCACTAACTTGCCTAGCTGGACTGGAACTCTCCATCCTCCTGTCTCAGCCTCCCAGGTATGTGCCACCATGCCCCACTTATGAAGTCTAACTCATAGCCACTAAAACTCATTTGAAGGGCACAGGTCAGTGAGTTTGGGAAATATCTCCAATCTTGTAACCATGGCCACGACAATCAACAGGTGAGACACTTCCACCCCTTTATAGTCAGTTCCTGCCCCATCCCTGAAGCTGAGGACTTGCTCTCTCTTGCTATGCTTTTGTCCTTCCAGAATTTCCCACCAGTGGAATCACCCAGCAGGCCTTTCATGTCTGGCCTTTCACTGGACATGGAGTCTGTGTCATTGGCCTGGTCCTTTTCACTGGTGAGTGCCACCTCACTGAATGGCAGGTCTGTGTTTTGTGTATCCATCCACAACTGATGGGCATTTTTTTGTTTCCATTTTTTCTTTCTTTCTTTCTTAAAAAAAATGGTCTCCCAGCCCAGGGAGATAGCTCAGTGGCAAAAGCGCCTGCCTGCAAGCACAAGGTCCTGAGTTTGATTCCCGGTATCAAAAAAAAAAGAAAAAAAGAGAAAGAAAAAGAAAAAAGGTCTCCCTAGGGAGCCCAGGCTGGCCTCGAACTCACAGCAAACCTCCTGCCTCTCAGCCTCCCAAGTGCTGGGATTACAGGGTTGTACCACTATGCCCCGCTCCGTGTTTTCTTATCATAAACATGGCTGCTACATATTCAAGTACAAGTCTTTACATGGAGATTTGTTTTCTTCTAGGCAAATATTGATAAGTAGAACTACTGAAGAAAAACACATGTGTACTGAAGAAACTGCCAAACCGCTTTCCAAAGCGACTGTATCCCTTTGTGTTCCTGCTGGAGGTAGATGAGGATTCCAATTGGCCCACAAGTATGCACTCATTAGTAGGCTACCTCCTGTGCCCGTGGTTTTTCACTTCAATTCCCCAGTCCCCCTCCCACCTACAGTGCCACTGTACAATAATTTGGTTAGAAAGACAAACCACCTGAGTAACGCTCTCCAGCCAGCGATGCTGACTGAGCCTTTGGATGTGCCCTGCTTTCTAACCGAATGTGGTTGTAAATTACAGCCAGGGCCACCGTCCTGTGGTACAAATAGCACCGTAGACGCATCCCGGGTTCCCAGAGCGGGGAGGAAATCAGGCAGATCTCCTTTTAACTTAAAGATTACCTTGTTCTTTCAGTTTTTCCACCAGGCCAGCTCTTCTCAGTGCCGAAGGGCCTTTCTCTACCCCTCCTCGAGGCTGAACAATCAGAACATAAAGAACTCCAGTCTGTATCCTGATCGTCAGAAGCACACAGCGAGAGCTTTTTCATCATTCAATCAGCTGAGTCATAACTGTCACTGTTTCAGCCCCTCTGGAAGTGCCACATCTGGGGGACAGTTACTGGCTCGTGTAATTTTCCATCAACCTTACCGTGATTGCTCTGGCACACAGCTAACGCGGGCAGACGCTTGAGATCATCCCAGTTCTTGGGGTCCCAAGGCCTGTACCCCCTTGCTGCCCACATACAAAACCCCGGAAAATCCTTCTGCTTGCCCGGGACAGGATAACAGACAGCATCTTGGCAACAGAAAGTGTGGACAATGAATCCCAGTACCAGAATAGAGGGGCACGGAGCAAGTGCTCGATGTCCTGCGGTGAAGACCGGTGCTCCTGACGGGGGCGGGGAGGGGGACTGTCAGGGAGGGCTGCCTCCTCTTTGAGCTCAATCTTGCAGCAAGAGTAAGTAGTCAGGAAAACAGGATGAGGGAGAAACTGCAAACCCTGGGGGGCAGCTTACACAAAGGCTCCAGAAGACAGAGAAACCCATACACGTCTTCAAAGCAGAAAGTTAGGGACAGATCATCTCCTGGGAGATAAAAGCACAAACAAGACCAATCCAGGAAGCTCAAGTTCTGACCTGCTCAAGCAGTCCCTGAGAGACGCTCCCTGCCCATCCACCCCTGGGAAGCCGCTCCTCCTCCTCCTCCTGCCTGCGCCTTTCCGATTCTCCTTTCTAAAGCAGATCTTTTAGATGGCAAAAGTTATGTATGGCTGTCAGCCGAGAAGATGTGCCAGAAGGCACGTGTTTGTCTCTAAGGTCAGGACTGCAGCCCTGAACTAAGCAACTATTTCTTCTGCCGTCAAAGGAGCCCTAGGTGTCAGGCAAATAGTCCATGTCAAATTCCTGTCCCTGGTGACAAGGGACCCCACATGCTCTGCCTGGCATATTTTCTTCCTTTACTCTACTTCCTTTTTCTTCTTTTACTTTTGGACTGGCGCATGATATTTGTGCTCAGTGTGAAGTACAGTGTGATGTCCTGATTCATGTATGCACTGTGTGAGAAGCAACTCTGGGTAAGTAGCGTGTCTGTCACCTCAAACTTGTATTCTTTATGGTGAATTCATTCAAAATTGTATTTACTGCAATTACTACAATCCTTTCTAGTCCTCAGTCAAGCAGTTGTAATGTCTCCTATTTGACCCTCAGTAGGGTCCTACTTGGTTTATATTTTGCCTTTACTTTTGTGTCTGTTTTTGTTTTTTCTCCGTTGTCAGATTTCAATCTAAACTTCTTTGTCTTCGGGACACTGTGTGTTGGAGTTCGGTTATGGCACACAGTACATTCTCCAGCATTGACAATTTGGTAAAAAGCCCCATGGCCCCTTTTGCCCTTTCCCTTTCAGAAATGAGAACAAACCTCATAGATCCCTTAGGTGCCACTATATTTGCTATAAGACAGTCATAGAATTTCTCAGACATTTTCCAGCATTCTTTTCTATTTGTTTGCCTCAGTCTGCTTCTCATGATTTTTGTCTTTTTGAGAAAAGATCTCACTATGTAGTTCAGGCTGGCTTTGAACTCACTATGTAGCCCAGTTGGGCCTTTGAAATTGTGGCAGTCCTCTTGCCTCAGCCTCCTGAGTGCTGAGGTTGCAAGAGTGCACAACCACACCTGGCTGTCACTGGTCTTTCCTCAGTGCTTAGTTTATCTACCCACTTTGGAAATTGCTTTGTGTGCTCCAAAGACTTTCTAAACAGAGTTCAGTTCCTACTTGGTCATAGGTATAAGATCCACTCTGTTGAGCTCTCTGAAGGGGCATCAGTGCAGGCCTTTAGGACAGGCATTTGAATCAAGCAGTCCTGTCTGCAGTCACATGGTCAAGGCTGTGGGGTCTGAACAAATTACCAAACTTCTCTGTGCCTTATTTACCAAAAGATAAAAAAAACCTGTCTCATTATTTAACCACTGCTTTACAAAGGGCCAGGCAGGGGATGCAGCTCTTCCTCAGATTCCAGTGTGTGGTCATCTGCCTTCTATTCTCTTTAAAGTTTAACCTTTATTTTAGGTAGGGACAAACACTTATAAATTAGCCATTTTTTTTTTACCTCTATGGCTTAGCATAGAAAAATTGATCTCAATCAACCCTTGAAATTATGAGATAGTAAGTTTCATTTTTTTTTTTTTTTTTTTAGACAATAGTCCAACCTGGTCTTGAACTTGTAGGGATACTCCTGCCTCAGTCTCCCAAGTGCTAGGATTACAGATGTGCACAACCACTCCTGGCTACTAACTTCATTTTTATGGCCACGTTTTAATGGGAGAAGAGCTGGGGGAAATTCCGGAGAGTGGGAAATAGATCAAGGTGTGTTTTAACATATTATCTCCTGAAGGGGCTGTTAGGCTTTGCTAGGCCCGGGGGCCAGAGCGCCTTTGGTCTCCCTCCCGCCTTCCTTCTCTCCCTTCCCTCTTTCTTTCCCTTTATTTCTTTCTTCTTTTTAGAAGTCTTTTTTAGATGTTTTAGAAGTCTTTTTAGATCTTTTAGTCTTTTCAGAACTTCTTCAGTTCTGAGTCACAATCTGTGCCAAGAACAGATGAACCTTTTGTAGATTTTGAAAAGAAACACAGGTCAGCAAATGCCCCTGTGTTCCAGGAGAGCTCTTTGGAGGGCTCAGGGAGGGGAAATAATATTTACTCACAGTCCAAATGCCGTTTGGGCTTCTAGCTCTGACCTCTCCCAATTTTGTGTTGCAATAAAAATTCAGAGTTCACAGAAAGAATTCAAAACTAAGAGGGGGTGACAGCCCTAGACCCTAAGAAAATGGGAAAGACCACCATAATGAAGTCTCAGGAGCTGCAGCGCGTGTGTTGTCTTCTTTGGGTTTCCCCCCCCCCCCTTTTTAAGCACAGACCCTGCTGATTCTAAGGGATCCTCTCATAAGTGCCAGAGTGCATGTGGCCGGCAGAAAAAAGAGGATTTAAATGTTGCCGTCAGGTGTGGACTCACACTTAGGTGGCTTTCGGGCGAGCTTGGAGATTCATAAACTCCTTTCCTGTCAGTGTGGCCCACAAGCAGAATATTCGCTCCCTACCCTAAGAGAAATATGTGAAGGATTCTACTTAGCTCATGAACTTTTGTAGAATCGTTAGAACCGTGAAGGAAGATGAATCACTCACAAAGTCACATCAATGATTGATATTTAGGTTTACCAAATAAAAGAAGCCTAAAGCTTGCCACCAATCTACGAACACTCTCTAAGTAAGCATCCATGACCCAGGCAAGCAAAGGCGTGTTTAAAGTTCTCTCACCTCCACATCCTCAGGAGACACCCCAACCAACAAGAACCGAAAAACCAGAGAAGGAGGGACACCGCAGAGAGGGGGCATTTCCATTCAAACAGAATTTGCTTGCTTAAATGCCAGCAAACATTCAGTAGATTTAAATGAAACTGAGTTTGGCAGACAGCAGGGGTCAGAAGCATGAGTGGGTGAGACCATAATAAGACAATGTCACAAAATGGTGAGAAAACCTTAAAGCAGGCACTCTTTTGCCAGACTATATGGGGAAATTGAATTAATGAGGCAGGAACAACCAACGCATCTGCAAGTTCCCCAAATCCCCAATACAGTCCAGTTCTTCCAAGTCAGGCTTTTCACTCACCTGTCCCTTGGAGAAAGGGGCTCCGATGACCGCCACGGATTTTGACTTGGAACTCATGCTCCCTGATGCTTGTCCTGCTGCCTGAGCTCTCCGGCCAGGGGCCACCCTCTGCAGCCTGCAGACTGAGGATGCATGTTTTTCCACTTATAAATGGGTTGAATGTGTTTATTTTATTCTAATGAGGACAGCTGGCTCCGCCCATTAAGCAGACATGGCCCTCAACAGAAATCTTGCAAATTCTTGGTGCATGGAATAAGCCCGATTCGTGGGAGCCTAGGTCTCTAATTAAGTGAGCATTATTCATGTTCCTGTTCACACCCTTTTCTGAAAAGCCAGCTGGATGACATTAAACCTTCTTAGACAAGTGGCAATTACGTGCGGTTTCATAACCCGGTAAGAAAAAAGCACAATGGTTCTAGTTGGGCAATACCAGGGCTGGGTGCTCACCTCCTCCCGGCTCGGAATCCAGCAAGTAGCTGCAGCGGAACAGCTGGCTGGCCTGGGGGTCTCACACTCCCCCCCAGCTTGGCCCCTGAGCTCTGTGCCCTGCACCAGGGTGACCGCCTGACCCGCCACACACAGCCGTGTACCACGAAGGGACGTTCTCAGGGAACGCGTGTTACTTCCCTTTATTATTATTATTATTATTAAGTTTATTGGTACCACTTAGCTGTACGTAACTATCCCATTCATCATAGCGAATTTGTACCTGTGCATGACCTACCTTGATTTGTCTTTTTCCCCCTCCCCCTCCCCTCCCTTCAATTCCTCTTCCGCTGCTTATTTACAAAGCTTTCTTTCTTTTCTCATTTTTTTTCTTTTCCCTTCCTTCCTTTCCCCCTTACTCCTCCTTAGGTCCCCTTTTCTTTTGAAATTTCTTCCTGTTTCACAATATCTACTATAAGTCTTTGTTCTTGTTTACACTTTCAAGTTCTCACACCAGAGAGACAATGTGATATTTCTACATGTATGTCTGGTTTATTTCACTGAAGGGTATATTCTCAAGAAATGTCTTGAATATATCCTTCTTTATGGCTGAGCAGTAGTCCACTGCAGACACATCTTTTTTATCCATTATTCAGTTGATGAGCATTTGGGCTGTTTCCAAGATTTAGCTTTTACAAACTGTGCTGCTATACCATGTGTAGTGGATTGACAACTGGTGGTCAACTTATAGCTGAACTGAGTAAGCATGGTGCTGGGTGTGGGAGGCCTACCTGGGGATTGTTGCCAGCAGCATAAGAGGCAGAACTGCTGAAGGAGAAAGAGGCTGTTAGGAGCTGAAAGAGGCTGTAAGGAGCTGTTGGTTGTTTTGGAGGAGCTCATCATGCTGGATTTCCTGATGAACTTGGCTCTTTTCATCTTCTGAGGAGCTTGGGATCTCACTGGCACTGAGAATGGCTTTGGTTCACTTTGGGGGAGCTCTGGTCCTCACTTTGAGCATCGCTTCCTGGCTCCGGAGGGGAAGATGGTGCACTGCTGGTCTCTTGGAGAAGCTTGCTGCGTTGGCTTCCTTGATGGGAACTTGGCTATCTTGATCATCAGAGGAGCTTGGGATCTCACTGTTGCTGAGGATGGCTGAGCTATCTTTCAGGGAAGCTCTGAGTCTTCTGAGCGTCGCTTCCTGGCTCCAGTGCAGATCCCTCAGCTTGCTAGCGCAGATCTTTCATCCGCTGGCACAGACTTCTTAGATTCCACCACTGACCTTTGGGCCTTCCCAGCGCAGATCCGTGAAACAGGCCTGCATGAGATATTGTCATGGGCTCTAGGCCTCCAGGTGGACTTGTGGGAGGCATTGTTATGAGCTCTAGGCCTTCAGCTGGACTCCTGCAGGACATTTCCATGGGATCCAGGCCCTCAGCTGGATTCTTGGTCTACAGTATTTGGACAGATTTCCTGCACTTGTTTGTATATTGTTCTTTGGGTGACTATTATAAATAATCATATAAAATATGCATCCTATATTATATTGTTCCCCTTGCAAAATATCCTCCAATATGCGCAACATGGGTGTGCATATATCACTGTAGTATGCTTTTAATTCTTTTGGGAAGACCTTTAATCACTAGCACTGAGGCTTCCCTAAGGGATGTCTATTTCTCGGAATGTCTTCTAGGTGTAGGTGCTTCTTAGTCTTTGTGTCTGTCCCAAGATCCCACCCTCCCAGTGTATTGAGATTGAGGAGTTGCAGTCTCTTTGGCTCAGCACCCAGGTCTTTGGTACTGAACTGTGCTGGTGACTGTGACCCCAGGCAATCACAGTGTTGTCATACAAGGGAGAACACCTGACTACAACAGTTAGGACATCCTGGCTAAAGTAACTTCCTTTTTGATTATTATTTTTTAAAAATCAGTTACTTGATTGATACCATTCTTGATATGTGATGTGGAAGAAAATAACATTTTAAAATCATAATATCACAATCAAGATACAGGAATAGCTGACACTAAGCTTTTTTCTTTCTTTCTTTCTTTGTTGTTGTTTTTTTTTTTCAAACAGGATCTCACTATACAGTTCAGGCTGGCCTTGAACTCACAGCTATCCTCCTGTCTCAGCCTCCCTGAGAGCCTGAGTGCTGGGATTACAAACGTGCACCACCATGCCTCGCTAATACTGAGCTTTTATTATGTGCATAATGTTGTTCTGTTTATGTTACCTCATTAACTTCTTATACCATTATTATGCTAAATCTTATCATTTGGCAATACTCTGGCAGAGAGTTCGCTATTAACCACCTATGTCACACTGACAAGTTGTAAGTCATTGTGCAAGAGTTCAGATGGATTTCCCAGCTCGGCGTGCTACTAGAAGAACTACAGACAGTGTATTACAGTGATGCCTGCATCCCTGCATTTATCGAGGTGCAGCTCATATTGACTAAACTGTGGAGACAACCTATACACCCATCCTTAGATGAGTGGACAAAGGGAATGTGGGATGTATACACAATGGAGTATAATTCAGCCATAAAGAAGAATGGAATTCAGTCCTCTGCAGGAAAATGGATGGAACTGGAGCTACGTAAGTGAAATAAGCTAGATTCAGATCAATACTGCAGGTTTTCTTTTATACGGGGAATTTTTTAGAGAGAGGTCGGGAAAATAGAAGGCAAATGATGAGAGATGAGGGAGGAGCTCTTGAGATGGGAGAGGAGGAGAAAGGAAGTGGGATAGAAACAACAAGTGGGATCTGTGTGCGTTAACAGGATGCCGCAGTGAAACCCATTGTTTTATGTTATATTCACTAAAACAAAAACAAGAAAAGAGAGGGGTGCTGTTCAGGAAAGATTCTGGGTTGTATTTTACTCAAGGGGGGAAAAAAAGAACTTAGAAGAAATGTACCCAAGGACCCTCCCAACTTTAAAATTCTGTGATGGTAGTTTAAGAAAATCTTCTTCCTTCCTGTTGAGGGAAGAAATACTGTGGATGACTTACATACATCAGGTAGAGATTTTGTCTGTGATATCCCCATCCCTACAATGTAGCTGATAGGCACTGAATACATAGTTATCGAATGAATAATGGGGAAGCTGAGGTCCCACAGGACCAGACTGATAGGATTGTTTTCCAAATGAGCTTCTGATGTTTTACTTGTGGATTTGCTCAGATGA